GATAATTTTGACATTTGATATCAATGACGAGATTTTGTTCACTACATTTAATTTTGCTCCTCAATTGTTAGTGTGATGGTGAGTTATCATGTTCCTCTTTTAAGTACACTTTTAATCTTAAAAAGATTATGTTATTTTTAAAAGTTTCGTACTTAATAATATAACATGCACACAATAATTTTATATATATATATATATATATATATATATATATATATATTGATATTCAGTTGTTCAATTTCTCCTATTTAATTCACAGTATTTTATTTTATTTTTGAAGGATAGGTATTGTGTTCATTTGTTGGTGCGTGAGAGCTTGGTAAATTATTTGATTTATAATGGCAAATGCAACATATTTTCTTTGACAACGACAATGACAATTCATAAATATAGTGTAAACCAACATTAGAGAGAAGAGAAGATCAATGCATAACGTTTGACTAAATACAATATCATAGTTTTATTCTTTAAGTTATATTAAGGATCATGTACCACAATACTAACTTATTGATCGTATTTTAATTTTTAATTCATAATTCAATGCGTACGGTGTAGCTACTTTTAGATGTATAATGATTAAGCACTATAAGATCAGAGACGAATCCAGAATTAGAAGACGACGGGGCACTACTAAAGGCGGATGTGGATTAGTCGAAGCACCTACACTTCAACGAAAATGAATGAATATAAATTAAAAAAATCTAACATAATCGAGTGTATACTTTGATATTGCTTGTTCGATTCTCACTTGAGCTTTTTTAATACCCTTAGTGTATACTTTAAGATTGCTAGTTCTATTCTCGAACTTGGGAAACACCAGTTGCTAAGAAGCACAACGACCAGGTGTTGGACCGCTACACCAACTCAACTTATATATTTTACCGTACACATTTAATTATATAATCCTTATTTAAGAATATACACATATATAAACAAAATAATTCCGAAGTGAACGGGTGCATGTGCACCCACACCCTCAAAGGTGGGTCCGCCTCTGTATAAGATGACACGGGACTTGAGAATTCATATTGAAAGCTATAGAGATAATGATCAAAAACACATTTGAATCATCATTTTTACGTAGGATTAGCACACCAACTACCAAATGTTCCCTTTTTCATTTTTCTACCAAAACTATTATCATATATGTGTTAAAACACACCTAGTTGAGTAGATAGTGATAGTTCAATCAGGAAAAAAGAAAAAACGGATAGTTGGCTTAATCAACTTCAGATGTGTTTTAATATATAGATGGTGATAATTCATGTAAAAACTAAACAAAGTCATATTTGAGAATGTAGAATTGTAGGATCAATTTATAAGTTGCATCCTATTTATTTTATTTTTTCATTATTTCAACCTCCATATATTTTGAAGACAAACAAAGCACCTCACATACAATATTATTTTGTTAATTGAATCACAACATACCACATTATTTGTACTTATTACTATTCCTACAAAGTTGAATTAGCTCTTCAGCAGCAGCATTCATCTCTTCCTCTCTTATAGATTTCAAATTCTTGCTGATATGTCTCACTTTGCCCCTTAAAATTTCCCCTGTTTCCCCTGTTATGACATCTTTAAGAGTTTCCGCGATTTCTCCTCTGTGAATATTCCCATCATCATCTCTAACAATTTCCATTGCGACTCCCAATTCAACTATCAACTTAGCATTTATTGGTTGATCATTATGCATAGGCATTGCTATTATAGGAACCCCAAAATCTAAACTTTCCATTACTGAATTCCATCCACAATGACTTATAAATCCTCCCGTACTCGGATGATTTAGAATTCTTGGTTGTGGTGCAAATTTGTCCAAAACTCTTCCCCTTTCTCCAATTCTTTCAAGAAAACCTTTTGGCAATACATCTTCAAGATTTTGCTCTTCACCTTTCGGAAATCTTGCAACCCATATGAAATTAACATTACTTAACTCCAACCCGAAAGCTACTTCCTCCATATCTTCTCTTGACAAGAAATACTCACTTCCAAAGCAGACAAAAACAGTTGAATTCTCATCTTTTGTTCCTAACCAATCCATGAGGTCCATGTCGTCAGCATCATTAGTGATCGAATCTTGCAATGGTGGACTAACTGGAACAACTTTCCAATTGCTCAATTCAGTGCAATAATCTAAGTATTTGGCCTCGATAGTTCTAGACGTACACATCAACATGATTTGCATATTTCCCTCAGCTAGACGATTCTCTTCATTAGGTTCTTTCTCGAACATTTCTCTCATCTTTACTTGCTCAACTTTCGGGAGATAAATAGCAGGGAAAGGGAATTCAACCCCTGGATTCTTTAGAAAGTTGAAAAAATACGAAAACAGAGCTGCACCTGAAGTTAAGATCTTGACTGCTGGAATGTTGTGTTCATTTACGACATATTCAGCCCACGGCAGCAATATGTCGTAAATCACCAAATCAGGTTTCAGATTTTGCAAGATTTTGGAGAAGTTTGGTTTGGACATTTTCAGGGCCTTATGAAGGGTGTGATTGAGATGGGGTGGGAGACCATTGGTAGTATGGTAATGAGGAGGAAGTTCAGGCAATTCAGGTAAGTGAAGTTCGACAAAACGAATTGCTTCAGAGTATTTTTCAGGGATTTTCTTGATGATGGATTTGAGATTGATTAGCGTAGAACAGAGGTAAATCAAGAATCCCCTGTTCGCGAGTTGCTTGGCTATGTTTAGAAATGGAGAAATGTGTCCATAAGCCAACCATGGAAACATCAGTACCCTCAAATTAGTAGCCATGATCAAAATCTTGAAAGAAGTTGATTTGTGATTCTCTATATATAGAGTGAAGTGAGAGATAGAGGACAAAACACAAGTCTAAAAGCATTTAACAAGGATTTGACTTGTATATGCAATCCATAGATTGGATTGATACATCTTTGCCAAATAATTATTTAGCAAATAGAAGTCAAAAATAATTTATAGTTATTAGTCAAAGTATATTTTGGGAGGAAATTCTTATTAACTCACATCTCTCTTCAAATTATTTTTGAGTAAAAGATATTTAATACTGTCTTGGTCCACTTTTAGTTGTCATGGTTTATTTTTTTAAAATCAAACTATAAAAACTTTGACTAACATTTTACATGTAACTTTTTATCATCATATTGATATGCAAAATATTGCAATTTATAATACTTTTCTAATAGTTTTTGAATATTTAAAAATTTTGTTTAAAACATCAAATTAATATAATCTAATTTAACTTTGAAAATTAGTTAAATTGACTTTTGAAAAGAACAATATGACAATTAAAAGTTGACCGAGGGAGTATGATATCTAGCTCTTCTAACCTCCAATTATTTCCCCTTGAAAATTAGTCAAATTGACTTTTGAAAAGGATAACATGACAATTAAAAGTTGGCTAAGGGAGTACGATATCTAGCTCTTCTAACCTCCAATTATTTCCCCTTGAAATTAGCAAAAAATTATTTAGAGTTATCTCTCTCCTTAAACTTAGCAAAAAATATTTAATTAAGACTATGGATATTCCTAGAGTCCCAACTATTTGCTAGAAGTTATGATGAAAAACTCAATTCATATTCACTTAACAAATTTGTATACGCATTGGTATTCATTGATATGTATGCATCAAATAGATTGGTATACATTTGTATATAGATTGGTATACATTCGTCCATATTCCTTAATAAATTTGGTATACATTTATTTGTATTAGTATCTTTCTTATTTTACATAGCTATACATTGGTCCATATTATGTTCCAACCAAAATTGGTATACATTAGTCTGTATTCACCTAAAAAATGTGTATACATTTATTTACATCGAGCTTGATATTCATTTCCGTATTCATCTAATAAATAGGTATACATTTGCTTGCATTACTATTTTTATAATTTTACATTGTTATATATCGATTTGTATTCATTAACAAATTTGTATACATTTGATTAAGACAAAATTAATTTTCATTATCAAATGGGAAAAATATGTGGATAAGCAAACATGTACTAGTTAATTAGCTAACATAGCTATAGTTTGAATTAATTATGGCTCGGAGCTTAATTTTAGCTGTAATTACATCGCCTCTCTCCTCTCTTCCTCTCTCTCGCCTCTCGCCTCTTTTATACATATACAAATACAAATTATACATATACAATTTTATGACATATATACAAATACAATTAGTCTCTCTGCCCTCTCTCCTCCCTATCCCAATCTCGCTCACCTCTCTCCTCCCTCTCCCAGTCTCGCTCGCCAAATATTCAAATACATATGTATACCAGTTACATATATACAATTATCTGACAAATATACATATAGAATTCGCCTCTCTCCACTCTTTGCCCTCTCTCATCCCTCTCCCAATCTCGCTGGCCAGATATACAAATACATATGTATACCAATTACATATATATAATTATTTGACAAATATACATATACAATTTGCCTTTCTTCACTTTGTGCCCTCGCTCGCCTCTCTCCTCCCTCTTACATGTAGCAACGAACCGTAATTAGAAAACTACAATTATGGAGCATAATTAAGTTATTTTGAGTGTGTATATGTGAAAATTCCTCTTATCAAATTCAGTCAATAAAATTTTAATAGTGTACAAAATTGTCATAAATAAATAAATATATCATATAAGTACCAAAATGAATATTCTAAAAGCAAGTTAGTGTATTCAATAACTTTGGTAATTGTGCACGACTGAGTCTACACCCCAATCAAGACACGGTACAAGTGATTCGAGGCTAATCCTTGGCTTAACATATCAAAACATATCATATGGAACTAATGCAAAAGCTGAAACATATGCTTATTAAGTCTTAATAAGGACATCAATAAATTCATAATGACTGAACAACTAATATTTGAGCAACCCTTTAGTGTCAAAATTAAGGAAATAAGTTTACCGGGACATGACCCCCATCCAACTCAAACCAAATACACAAAGAAACTAACTAAAGTCTGACAAACAACTAATCCATGAAGTCCCCAAATGAGCACACTATTTGCACTCATTACTATTCTTACAAAGTTGAATCAGCACTTCAGCAGCAGTATCCATCTCTTCACCTCTTATAGATTTCAAATTCTTGCTGATATCTCTAACTTTGCCCCTCAAATTTTCCCCTGTTTTCCCTGTTATGACATCTTTAAGAGTTTCCGCAATTTCTCCTCTGTGAATTTTCCCATCATCATCTCTAACAATCTCTACGGCGACTCCCAATTCTACTATCAACCTAGCATTTGATGGTTGATCATACTGTATAGGCATAGCTATTATAGGAACCCTAAAAGCTACACTTTCCATTACTGAATTCCAACCACAATGACTTATAAATCCTCCGGTACTCGGATGATTTAGAATTCTTGGCTGTGGTGCAAATTTGTCCAAAACTCTTCCCCTTTCTCCAATTCTTTCAAGAAAACCCTGTGGCAATGCATCTTCAAGATTTTGGTCTTCCCCTTTTGGAAATCTTGCAACCCATATGAAATTAGCATTACTTAACTCCAACCCGAAAGCTACTTCTTCCATATCTTCTTTTGACAAGAAATACTCACTCCCAAAGGAGACAAAAACAGTTGAATTCTCATCTTTTGTTCCTAGCCATTCCATGAGCTCCTTGTCGTCCGCGTTGTTAGTGATTGGATCTTGGACTGGTGGACCAACAGGAACAACCTTCCAATTGATCAATTCAGTGCAATGATCTATGTATTTTGCCTCTATAGTTCTAGAGGTACTTATCAGCATGATTTGAATATTTCCATCCACTAAACGATCCTCAAAATCTTTAGCATACATTTTTTCTTGTTCAATTGTGCTGAGATTAATCGCGGGGAATGGGAATACAGCCTCTGGTTTCTTTACTAAGTAAAAAAGATACGAAAACACAGCTGCACCAAAAGTTATGAGCTTGACAGCTGGAATGTTCTGTTCATTCGCGACGTGTTCAGCCCATTGCTGCAACATGTCATAAATCACCAAATCAGGTTTCAGATTTTGCAAGATTTTCGAGAAGTTCGGTTTGGACATTTCCAGGGCCTTATGAAGGGTGTTATTGAGAAGGGGCGGGAGACCATTGGTCGTATGGTAATGAGGAGGAAGTTCGGGTAATTCTGGTAAGTGAAGTTCGATAAGCTGAATCGAATCAGCATACTTTTCAGGGATTTTGTTGATGGTGGATTTGAGATTTATCGGCGTAGAACAGAGGTAAATCAAGAATCCCCTGTCTGCGAGTTTCTTGGCTACGTTTAGAAATGGAGAAATGTGTCCATAAGCTAACCATGGAAACATGAGTACCTTCAAAGTAGCCATGATCAAAGTATTGAAAAGACACTAAATTTGTGATTCTAAATGAGAGATGGGCCCTTTGGTGGCATTGGATGCCTTATTTATAAGAGATAGAATTGACATAATTAGATTGAAAATTAATATGTTTTTGCCAAATAATTATTTGGCAAATGAAAGTCAAAAGAATTGACATTTAAGACTCAAAGTGTGGAAATTCTTATTACTCACATTTAAAAATAGTAAAAAATATTTAATAAAGAATTATATCTCTCCTTAAAAGTAGCAAAAGATATTTAATTAAGACTATTTTGACACTATATACAGATTATTTTCCCCATCTATTTTGCTAGAAGCTATGATGAAAAACTCAATAAATATCCACGTAACAAATTTGTATACATCTGTTTGTATTAGTACTCAAATACTAATTTGTATTTGTCAAATAGGTTTGTATTGGACACATTCACTGGTATTCATTGGCCAATATTCATCTAATAAATTTGTATGGCTTTCTTTAGGTCAAAATTGATATCCATTAGTTCGTATTCACCTAACAAATATGTATACATTTTTATAAATTGAGGTTCATATTCATTGGTATGTATTCATCTAATAGATATACATTTGCTTGCATTACCAATTTTATAATTTCACACTGTTATCTATCGATCCGTATTCATTAATAAATTTGTATACATTTGATTGAGACAAAATTAATATTCATTATCAAATTTAATCGACGAAATTTAATATTTACCAAAATGTCATTAATAAATAAATCATATAAGTACCAAAATGAATTCTGTAAAAGCAAATTAGTGTATTCTATAACTTTGGTATTAGAGGGGAAGAAAAGGTCAGACTCTATGAAATTGACTAAAATAAATATGAAGGAAAAAGACAATGATGCAACAAAAAAATAAAGCAAAACCTATGGAAGTAGAAAATAATTATCATCCATATTTTCTTTTCTAATTTTAAGGAGAAACTTTAGTTGGTAGTAAGAAGAGAGAGAAAATACTACTCTCCTTGTTCCAACTTTATATGACTTACTTTCTTTTTAATCATTCCCAAAAAGAATGACACATTTTCATAGTAAGTAACAATTGAACTTTAAAATACACATTTTACCTTTAATGAATGATTCACTGTCACACAAATATCTATTACTCATTTTAGACCATAAATTTAAAAAAATATTCCTTTCTTTCTTCAACTTTGAGTCAAATCAATCTAACTCATATAAAATGAGACACAGGAGTTACATTTTAATCGCTACAAGAGAAAAATGATATGGACTTGAGAATTTATATCGAAAGCTAAAGAAATAATGGTCAAACATATATCTGAACTTCGCAGTTTCACATTCTAACTATTACATGTTCTCTTATCCTATTTGAACTATTGTCGACTGTTCTATTTTTCTATCTGAATTATCACCATATATATGTTAAAACACATCTAGTTGAGTAGATGATTAAGAACAACTGACAGTTGACCTAATCAACTTGAAATGCGTTTTAATACATAGATACTGATAATTTGAATAGGAAGAGAGACAACTAATAGTTCACAAAGCTAAAGAAAGTCATATTTGAGAATCTTATTATTTTTCTCAATATATTTTGAAGACAAAAAAAAGCACCTCACATACAATATTATTTTGTTAACTGAATTACAACATACCACATTATTTGCACTTATTACTATTCCTACAAAGTTGAATTATCTCCTGAGCAGCAGCATCCATCTCTTCACCTCTTACAGATTTCAAATTCTTGCTGATATCTCTCACTTTAGCCCTCAAATTTTCCCCTGTTTCCCCTGTTATGATACATTTAAGAATTTCTGCGATTTCTTCTCTGTGAATTTTCCCATTATTATCTCTTACAATCTCCACTGCGACTCCCAATTCTACAATCAACCTCGCATTCATTGGTTGTTCAAGATGCATAGGCATGGCAATTATAGGAACCCCGAAATCTATACTTTCCATTACTGAATTCCAACCACAATGACTTATAAATCCTCCGGTACTCATATGATTTAGAATTCTTGGTTGTGGTGCAAATTTGTCCAAAACTCTTTGTAACATCCGGCAATGTGAAATAATTGAAGAGGCTTAGAATTGGAAATTTTCATTTTTGGAAAGGATTTGAAAATCTCAAAATTTTTTGGCTAAGTATGGAAAAGGTGAGTTTTTGGCCAACTTTGATCAGTCGTAACTTCTAGATCATGATGAGTTAGAAGTATTTCCAGTTATGGTTGCATAGCCCTCGGAACGATCTTTCCAACGCCGCCGAGTTTGCTCAATTCCGAGTTCGTATAAGCGAGTTATGACCTTTGGAAGTTGGGCAATTGACAAGGAAATCCTTCTAGGAATCATTAAGGGCATTTTAGTCTTTTCCCTAGCCAATTCTTTTGGGATTATATTATTGTATAGGGCTGATCTTTGGATCATTTTGTTCCATTCTAAGAGAGTGAAGGCTAGGGCTTGAGAGTGAAGAAGAGAAGAAGAAGAGAAGAAGAAGAGAAGAAGAGGAGAAGAAGAAGAGGAAAAAAATCGAGGAGATCAACAAGTTCCACCAAGATCATCGTGGATTTTCGTCGGGGGTGATCCCTAACAAGGTATGTGAGTTCTTTGTGTGGGTTGATCCTTTCCCCCACACACCAAGCTCTTTTTTTTTATGATTTGAGGAAAGATTGAATTTGTGTTGAAGTTGTTGAAATTGTTGGTGGTTGTGTTGTTGAACCCTTGTGATTGTGTTGTTGAAGTTCTTGTTGGTTTAGTACATGATTTGGTTGGGATTTTGAGTTGAAATCTATTGAATGTTGAAGGACTTTATGTTCTAAGTGATTGGAGGATGGAACCCTTGAAGTTAGAGAGTTTAGAGTTGGTATCGTGAAGGAGAAAGTTGGACAGCTTGCAAGGGGCACATCCGCGTCGCGGACTTGTTCCCTCTGTGAACAAAAATATGCTCCGCGTCGCGGACAGGACGCGGACTCCACTGTTTTCAGAATTTATGTTCAAAGATTTTCTTTAGTTTGGCTGTCCCAAATCATTCCCAAATCATTCCTAAACACCATGAGGTCCTTCCAAATGCCAATCAAGTCCTCGAATCCATAATTAAATTCAAGAAAGTTAGGATCAAGTCAAGTGAAGTTAGAAGTCAAGTGGAGTTAGAGCCAAGCTTAGAAGTTAAGCAAGTCAAAGCAAGTCTTTAAAGCTTTTCAAGAGTCGTTATTGAACGTCTTAACGTCGTTTCAAGTTTCAAGTTGAGTTAAGAGTTTCAAGTCAAGTCAAAAGTAAAGAGTTTAAGTAAAGTAAGGAGTAAAGAGTCGAGTCCATTTCTCCAAAGTTATTAGGGAACTATGTACTTCCCAAAGAAGTTCTAAATGTTTTTACATTTAAGTAAGAAAGGAGCCATGTTTTCCAAAAGAGCCTTTGGGCTAAGTTTTGAGTAATTATCTCAATCAAAGAAAGAAGTTAGTTTAAAAGCATGAGCCAAAGTATTTTTGGGAGTAGTATTGAGCACCGAATTGGGGACACGAGTTCATATCAACTCGACTCTCCATAAGAACCATGCGCCAACATGGGACTTGACGTATCATTCTTTTTAGATGATCACGTGAGATTAGGCTAGTGGATCCACTAAGCAAAAGTAAGGTCCTATATCGATGGCAAGGTATAGGATGGTCCTTTGGCAACGTGAGGTAAAACGTTGTATCATCACTAAGGCTCGTAGTGATGGTTGTTGGTTAAAGAACCTCCCACAAAAAGCTGTATTATGTTTATAAAAGAAAGGTTGAGTTTGTTATCATTTTATCCTTAACGATCTAAGTTGTTTACATTCTTTTACAAGCTTATTATGTATGGCTTGTGTCTTATTGCTTTACTTTGAGCCCAGTTATTTATATGAGTTGTTCAGAGTCAAGGTAAGTGATCTCTTGTTCTCCTTTCAAGCTTAAGTTGTGGTTCAGCTTTTCCAGCTCACATATTCGTACATTCCATGTACTGATGCCAGTTGGCCTGCATCGTCTTATGATGCAGATACAGGTACCCCGGATCAGCATCCTGCGCGTCGTTGATCCAGCTGAGCACTCCAGAGTCTGTGGTGAGCCTCCTTGCATTCCGGAGGACTCAATTATTTTGTGTACTTAGTTTTGTTCTATCAGGATGTTGCGGGGTCTGTCCCCACATCCATCTCAGTATATTAGAGGCTTCAATAGACAGTCAGACAGTCAGTCAGTCAGTTAGTTTTGAGTCTCTCATCCATGTACATGTATATATGTGGAAATATTCTATTTTAGACTCGAGTTGCCCTTTGGGCCATATTTTTTATTAGTTATGTTGTTTATGTCCTTGCATGACATTGAGTTATTCTGTTGAGTTTAGTTTCCGCTGAGTTAAGAAAGCTAGGCCAAGGGTTCGTCTGGGGCCAGCAATGGTCTCCAGGTGCCGGTCCCGCCCAGGGTGTAGGCTCGGGGCGTGACACTCTTCCCCTTTCTCCAATTCTTTCAAGAAAACCTTTTGGCAATGCATCTTCATGATTTCGCTCTTCACCTTTTGGAAATCTTGCAACCCATATGAAATTAACATTACTTAACTCCAACCCGAAAGCTACTTCTTCCATATCTTCTTTTGACAAGAAATACTCACTCCCAAATGAGACAAAAACAGTTGAATTCTCATCTTTTGTTCCTAACCAATCTATAAGCTCCATGTCGTCAGCGTCATCAGTGATCGAATCTTGGACTGGTGGACCAACTGGAATAACCTTCAAATTGAGGAAATCAATGCAATAATCTATGTATTTGTCCTCTATAATTCTAGAGGTACTCATCAGCATAATTTGTCTATTTCCATCAGCTTGACGATCCCCTTCATCAGGTTCTATCTCTTTAGCACATTTTAAAGTTTCATTCATTTTTACTTGTTCACTTTTCCTGAGATAAATTTCAGGGAATGGGAATACATCCTCTGGTTTATTCAGTGATATTGTAAAATACGAAAACACAGTTGCACCCGAAGTTAGGAGCTTAACTGCTGGAATGTTGTGTTCATTCGCGACACGTTCAGCCCATTGCTGCAATATGTCATAAATCACCAAATCAGGTTTCAGATTTTCCAAGATTTTTGAGAAGTTTGGTTTGGACATTTTCAGGGCTTTTTGAAGGGTGTGATGGAGATGGTGTGGGAGATCATTGGTAGTATGGTAATGAGGAGGAAGTTCGGGTAATTCTGGTAAGTGAAGTTCGACAAGCTGAATCGAATCAGCATACTTTTCAGGGATTTTCTTGCTGGCATATTTGAGATTGATGGGCGTAGAATAGAGGTAAATCAAGAATTCCCTATCCGCGAGTTTCTTGGCTACGTTTAGAAATGGAGAGATGTGTCCATAAGCCAAAAATGGGAACATCAGTACCCTCAAAGTACTAAGAGGCTCTGTAACTTGTTTAGCCATGATCAAAATCTTGAAATGAAAGAAGGGTGAGAAATGAGAGATGGTTTCTCTATGGAGTTGGCTGGCTTATTTATTAAAGAGAAAAGACTCAAATATATATCGAACTTTGAGAGAATGTTCATCTATGACATTCGTTCAAAATTTTTATCTCATCTATGTCATTTCTGTTTGAGAAAAGGCTCATACATGTCATTATTTGTTAACTAAAATGACATAGGTGAGCCTTTTTCTCAAAGTTCGATGACATATTTGAGTCATTTCCCTTTTAAAAATGATTTACTTAATTACGTAAACAAATCATAACAAACCATGTATACAGAATAAATTTGCAACATCAGATTTATTTTCAATTAACAAATAATGACATAGATGAGTTTTATCTCAAACGAAAATGACATAAATGAATCAAACTTTTATTCAATGGCACAAATGGACTTTTTTTTCTTAAAGTTTGATGATACATTTGAAAAGAAAAGTGCTAAATGGCCAGAAATTTGGCCAGAAAATTAAAAAAATTATAATATTTTTTTTAATTTTAAAACAAACTGATCTTTTTTTTTCATTTTTTAGTTAAAATATATTAAAGTTAAAAGGATAAAAATATTTAAAATGATAAAATAACATAACTAAAATATCATTCTAGCCAAAAAGATTTTTCTATTTGAAATTTTTTCCTTTACTATTAAAAACATAAGAGAGATGAGGACAAAAGGGAATCATCTACACAAATACGTTACAACTTTTACATTAAAAGCTCATCGAAAAATACACATTACTCAATTCCCCAAAAAGTGATGACAACAATGTAGGTGAAAAATACGAAAACCTATGACTTTCTATAAATGATCACATTACTCCCACCGTCCTACAAAAACTATAAGTAAAAGAATAATTTTACTACTCTCTCCGTCTCATTTTATATATCATCCCTTTCTATAAATAGTTGAGCCACAATACTTGTCATTTTATAAAATTTATACATAAATTACCATATTTTTCCTATTATACCCTTGATAGAATAGTTAATTAATCTTGTCATTTATTAATAAAGTTGACTTAAGAAAACATTAAATAAGGGTAGAAGGTTAAGTTACATCATTTCTTAATGCAAGTGCAAAGTAAAAAGGTGACATATAAAATGAGACGGAGGGAATATATTATCCTTTGAATATAATAAATATAATGTCTTGAAAAGTGTAATATGAAAATGACTATAATTAATGATAAAAGTAAATTATGAATTAAGTGTAAAATTACCCATTGATTTCATAAAGTGGACAAGTATTGTAACGACCGGGTTCCGTCGTTATAGAAATGTCAACGGGGAAAAATTTGGGGCCGGAAAAACTTTTTCGTAGTATTTGTATTTTCCCAACTTTGTCCAGATTTGGACGAAATCAGAGTCCTTGAGGTGTGGGAAAATCTGGTAACAATCGGGTGAGTTGTTTTTTAGTTTGATTGCATGAGTAGTTAGATAACTTGTTAAGGAAATCGTACGACTTTACAGAATTGAATTTGGGTGAGTAGATCTCCGGGAATCGATCTTAGCATGAATGGTATTTTCTAAGCGTCGTGGGTTAGAAGTGTGTTGTGGAATGGGAGTTTGTAATTCTTTAAAATAGCTCTCTGTTTTGAAAATGCCGCTTTGGCGGGGCCACTACAGTGGGATATGGGGCGTTGTAGCGGGTACGATGAGACTTAAAATCGTAGGGGAAAGCGGAATAGTTCACTGGTTCAAGAGTGCTGCTCTAGCGGGGTGAAGGTCGTTGTGGCGGGCCAGACGAGACTTAATGTCGTTAATAAACCTCTAAATGACCTCATTATGCACTTTTCAACTTTTTGAGCTAAGGAACGACCCCCATGCGACTCTTACTCGTTTTCCACCATTCTTGAAGCTAAATGTAAGTTTTTCACTCCCCGAATCCATTTTTCGATCCGTAGAACCTAATAGAATGGGTCAATAATGACGGGGAAGGGTTTTGTTATAGATTCTATGGCTAAAACAACCATAAATTGGTTAGTTGGGATCATGGGTTTGATTTAGGGTTCATAGAATTGTTATAGTTTTGGGTAATTAGCGATTGATTGTTGATTCCCGTGTTATTGTGATTATTTGTAGACCAAGAACAAGCAGAACGAATCCGGAAAGGGAAAAATCAAGTTTCTTAGGGTTTCAAGCTTGTTTTGAGGTAGGTGATGGTTGTGATTCTATGATTGTGTGATGTATGTTTGTTCTTGCTTCATTATGATACTTGTATATGTATGAATGTTGCAATATTGATCACACTTGTTGTAAATGAGATAGATGAAATATCATTGCCATGAAATCATGACTTAAATGTATGATCTTGATGATGTACTTGTGTTTGTGAATGTGGTGTGTGAATGGGATCGGATTGCCACGTTCCGGCATGCTAACTGTTTGAGTTTGGGTTCCGTGAGAGGACCAATGATGTGCTATAAAATGTGAAGTTGTTCATAAAGGTTGATAATGTTGAATATGTTGATATATATGCATGTGATTATAATGTTGTTTGATTTGTTTATGTTGCACTAGTGGGATAGCCACGTGATCCGACCAGTACACTTTGATTGTGTATTGATTCTGCACTTGCTCTTATTTTTGTTGAGTACGGGGCATCTTCACGCGACTATTGATAGACCTCGCATAGAATATTAGTGATCATCGCTTCGAATTCAAGGGTGAGCCAATTCTTCTGGGCTGCCATGGGATTCTCTTTCGTCTATGTCCATCATTTCCGAACTTAGATAGTAGTTCTAGTTAGTTGATTAGTTCATTAGTTTGGGGACGTATCCATTCTTGTTTAGACTTGGATAATTTGTTTAGATGTTTTGGTACATTGACTTTCAGGTTCTAGGTATTAAATTTCCGCATTTGTTAGTTAATTAACTTGCCTCCGTAACTTAATTGCCTTAGTTTTTAGATTATTTGCTTGGGTTGGGTTGTAGTAGTGGTTCTCCCACCGGAATATTAGTGTGGGTGCCAATCACGACGGTCTGGGTCGTGACAAGTACTGTTGGATATCCTAAAATAGTATAGTGAACAACTATTGTTGGACGGAGGGAGTAGTTTCTTAAAATTTTATTTCCTCCGTCCAACAATAGTTGTCCATTATACTATTTTGGTATGTCATCGAAAGCTCATCGAAAAATACACATTATATGATTATTATATTCATGTTTTAGTTTGACTAAAAATAATAAGATAGAAGGATGATCGTCTTGTGGAAGTGTATATAAAAAGGAGCTCATAAGATTGTGCATTAATTTTATATTTTGTTCCTTATTTTTTTCTACTAGTTCTGGATACGTGCGTTGCACGTGTAATCAATACTAATCCTTCGCAAGAACAATTAAATTATAAGTCAATTTTTGACAACCTTATTATCCATAAATTGTCAAGACTTAATTATTATGTAGTTGGAATAACATAAAATAATGGCATAATCCTAAATTATTGAACAATTATAAAGGAGGTGATAGTTGTCGCATGCCTTTGATCTTGGATTGGAGAGAAGACGAGGTTAAAATTTGTGAAGATAGAATGTTCTTAGTCTAATAGGACTTATAGTTATGTATTAGAGATCCAAAATCAATAGATGATTCTTCTCGTTCCTTTATGACTTATTTGCATATCGTAAATTAAATATTGTTGAATTAATCCCTCTTTTAAAGGTATCCAATATAGAGAAGTCAAAAGGCAAATTATAGAGGCAAGATCATTTCTAAGAAATGATCATTATCAACAAATTAGAGATATTATCAAAGAAAACAAAGTCATAAAGCTTCGACATTCATGATCATTTTGAAATATGTACATAGTGATATCTGCAAGATTCCTATACAACTGTACTTTAAAATGTAACGATGAGTAGAAAAAAATCAAGAGAAGTTATATATAACACAAATACAATTTAAGAAATTAAGTGAACCAACTTTCCTATGCTTACCTCCTAGAGATAGCTAAATAAGAAGACGATAAATATTGCTACACTATTGAGTATTACTGAGATACCAAAATCTTGAGAAACTATATATGACGACAATATTCGTAGCATTCCAAACAAAATTATCTTATTCTTTCATTCATGTGAAAAGCACAACATAAAAAGCACAATAATTTATTTTAGAAATAATAACTAAATGACTCATATTTAAACATGACAGGCTAAATTTTTGTTACATACCATGTAAGTTTACACCTACGATATTGTTTCATCCAGATAGTGAGAATTAACTATATGCTAAATGTCCATTTATATAAGATAAATTTAATTTATCAAGTAGAAAATTCAGCATTAATTTTTGCTAATTATGATGTAAGGAAATCAAAAGTTTTGCAACAATATTTATTGTAGCTATTACTTAGCATTTAAGATAATTTATGAATATAATTCATTGAACTTTTTTTATAGTTTTGCACGTTAGGAGTATCTGAAGAGATTGATTTAAATATTGCAAAACTTTTGATTTTCTTCTATCATTTAATAATACAAATATTCATTGTATTTATATTAATTCATGTCACAAGTTGTGTTTTAACTTCCGAAAACTTACAGTAATATTATGGGGTTTTCCATTGTAGAATATTATTATTATTATTATTATTATTATTATTATTATTATTATTATTATTATTATGTATTTATATTTTTGTCCATAAATATATAAGAATAGTGTTTAATAGAATATGATAATATTTATTAATAATTAATGTGTATTTACATTTTTTTTCATCAATATTATGACATTATAAGGATATTTTCGTAATTCAACTTTTGACTTGGAGGCTTCCCACTTATAATATAATATATATATATATATATATATATATATATATATATATATATATATATATGACTATGAATATGATAATTAAAGTCATAACTCATAGCAATGATATCATATTATTGACATAATATATAAAGAAGACCCTTAACTTAACTTCAATTGGTAACTATGGACCTTTAACTTTGAGTGTGCCCAAGTAGACACTTAAACTTGTATAAAATTGAACAAATAGACACATTTGTATGGCATCCTACATGACAATTTTGTGTCCTACATGGCGTTCTATGTGTATTATGTCACGTAAGACATGTGTGTCTACTTGTTCAATTTTATATAAGTTTAAGTGTCTACTTGTGCACAATCAAAGTTGGACAACATAGATATCAGTTGAAACCAAACTAAAGGGCATATTTATGTATTATGCCTATTTTTTATTTTGTACTTTATGAGTATGAATTTTTTATTGTCACCGATTTATACTTTTGGTTCGATATTATAACTTAGGACTTTGTAGGAAATCGCTAACTACTGACCATATGTTTTCTTCTGTAATATCAATTAGGAATAACACATAAATATGACTCTTAACTTGGTTTCAAATTTTAACTTTGACCTTAAACTTTCAAAGTTCATAAAGAGGCATTTTAACTATCCAACTCTTAAATAAAAAAAAAACACTCAAATATTGCAGCCCAAACATGTGAAATACAGACGCTCCAACGTAGATTAATGAGTCAGTCAATGGTTGTCGACTAATTAAAAAATTTACATGTAGATATTAGAATTAAAAGAAATGAAATAATATTCAAATTAATACAAGGGTGAAACTGTTCCATTTTATCCTATTTCTCTCTCAAAATTGCAAACCCCTAGCTGGGGATTTACAGCCAAAATCATGAATCAAGGGAAAATCGTTCATGATTTGTGCTAAAAGTTCATATAGTCTAATGTTTATATGTTCATCTTCCTCAATTTAGTCCAGGTATTTTTAATTTTTCCCTTTTGAAAGTTAATTTTTGATAGAAGGTAGAATCTTTGCTTAAATTTGGATTGTTTGCAGACCAACGACCTGTATTGTTTGCGGACTAAGAAATCTTCAATTATAGCTCTTTTCCCACAATGACAAAAAAAATAAATTAGAAGCCATTTGCACTAAAAACAAGCAAAAATCGTGCTAAAGAGAGAAAAAAAAACTTGATTTGAAAGAAGAGGAAAAAATGGGATTTTGATTAGAAAATATACATATATATATAAAAGGGATTCATTAAGGGTATAATTGTCATTTCAACATATATTTTACTGTTGTGGGCCTCGAAATTTACTCCTGACGTGCACAAATTGAGTGTATATCACGTGGTTTGCTAGGTGGGATTCAAGTGTTTTTTTTATTCAAGAGTTGGATAGTTAAAGTGCCTCTTTGTGCACTTTGAAAGTTTAAGGTCAAAGTTAAAATTTGAAACCAAGTTAAAGGTCCTATTTATGTGTTATGCTTATCAATTAAATGTCTAGGTAAATATAAATAAGGTATAATACATAAATATGCCTTTTAACTTGATCTCAATTTAAATTTATGCCCTCTAACTTTGAGTTTGCACAAGTAGACACTTAAACTTTTATAAAGTAGAACAAATAGACACATGTGTCCTACATGACATCCTACATGACAATATGGATTCTATATATATAATATGTCACGTATATTCATGTGTCTACTTGTTCAACTATATACTCGTGCACACCCTAAGTTGGAGGACATAAATATAAAATGAGACCAAGTTAAAAGGCAAATATGTATTATGCCTATAAATAAATATATAAAGTCACAACCATGCACCACAAATACACAGTTTGAGCAAAACGTGTGTTTGGCATATGGGGGAAAGTGGAAACATGACATATCCATTATCTCCCTCACTAACAAATTGGTAAACGTCAAAGTCTTCCTCATGAGGGCCCTTCGATCTTCATCAACTTGCAACTTTCCCATCAATGACCAAACACAAGTCTTCCATTGGTAATAAAAGGCCACAAAGCTTCCATTTATATAATAATAATAACAACAATAATTGTGAAGTCTCAGCTCAACCTGAGTAATACACAAATGTCTAAAGGAAACTCTCAGCTTAAATATTTCACATTAATCCTTCAAATCATCTTTCTGCAAACATCCAATGCTTGGAAGATCAACTGTCCTGATTCTGCTTGTGGAGATATCCGTAACATAAGATTCCCTTTTCATTTAAACACCGATCCAAAACATTGTCGTCTTTCAGGATTTGAATTTGCTTGTGAAGGTAACCAAACAGTTATATGGTTATCCTCCAAGAAGTTGCACGTTCAAAGCATCGACTATGCTAATCAGACAATTCACTTGGTAGATCCGACTTTACAAACAGATGATCTATGTTCTCTCATACCTTCTAAGCTTATTACCTTTCTCAAATACAATAATTTCTTCAGGCGCTCATACTTTTATGCATCACAGCGTAGAATAGCAGCGCCCATTTTCATGTTCAACTGTCCATCTGCTGTTAATGATTCGACATTTGTGGAAATTAGTGGCTGCAAATTAAGCAGATACACTTATTTAAAGATTGGAGAGATGAAAGTCTCTGAAGTGAGTGATGGATGCAGAGCAGAATTTATAGGCTTCACCTCATGGCCTAATATTAACAACATTTCCCTTTCTGATATTCATCAAGCAATTCTCTACGGATTTGAGTTTTCTTATTCTTCGTGGGGTAACATTCTTTTCTATCCTCTATACGTAAGAAACTAGGAAAACATTTTATTATTTAATTATATTCTCAACATTCACTCACTACAGTTTAATTTTTACACGTCTTTGTAGGTTTATTGGAATTGATTTTCGGTGAGGACTCAAACTTTTATCTACATATACTTTTTATTCTCCATTGATCTCTCATTCTAAAATATTTGCACTTTAATCTATCCAGAGATCAGTATTTGGCTGCTTCAGTATTTCGTGTGTAAGCTCCTATATATCCCTTTAGTAATCTATATGTTATTTGGATGGACACAGATTAACATTCCATTGATCATGTGTTTTATCATCTCTATGGTTCGTCATGACTTCTCAAATGTGCAGTGTATTTGGGAGCAAAATTTGTAATAGGCCTTCCGTTGGTAATTGCATTTCTGGTGTACAAATTCAAAAGGAGGCATTTGTCAATGTACGATATGATTGAAGGCTTTTTGCAAACACAAAACAATTTCATGCCTATAAGATATAATTACTCCAACATAAAAAGAATGACCAGAGGATTCAAAGAGAAATTAGGCGAGGGAGGTTACGGAACTGTGTACAAAGGAAAGCTTCAAAGTGGAAGAGATGCAGCAGTGAAGATGTTGAGCAAGCCTAAAGCTGATGGGCAAGATTTCATGAATGAAGTAGCTACCATGGGAAGGATTCATCATGTCAACGTGGTTGGACTCGTGGGGTATTGCGTTGAGGGAACAAAGCGTGCTCTTGTTTACGACTTCATGCCCAATGGATCACTTGATAAGTACATCAGCACTAGTCAAGAAGGAAGTCCTCTGTTAAGTTGGCAGAGGAAGTATGACATTATTCTTGGAGTGGCTCGAGGAATCGGGTATTTGCATCGAGGCTGTGATGTACGAATTTTGCATTTTGACATCAAACCACACAACATTCTTTTGGATGAGAATTTCATTCCAAAGATTTCTGACTTTGGGCTTGCGAAATTATATCCAACAGATAAGAGCATTGTGACTCTCACAGCTGCTCGTGGAACGATTGGATATGTTGCTCCAGAGTTGATTAGCAGAAGCATTGGAGCAATCTCGTACAAAGCTGATGTTTACAGCTTCGGAATGCTGCTAATGGAAATGCTAGACTTGAAGAGAAATGAAGTTGCAAATGAAGAGCATTCCAGCCAATACTTTCCTTATTATATTTACGATAAGTTCAACAAGGGGAAAGAGATTGTGGTGGATGAAGAAGCGAATGATGATGAAAAGAAGCTGGCTAGAAAGCTGAGTTTAGTTGCATTATGGTGTATACAAACAAATCCGATACAACGCCCTTCAATGAGTAAAGTAGTAGAAATGCTTGAAGGCGAAGTGCTAAAAGTACCTCCTCAGCCTCTTTAATCACAACCGATTGTCCATCAGATCAGGGGAAGTTCTACGACATTTTCATCTGATTCAATAGCTTTGTTAGATAATCCCGTTGAGGTAGACATTTATGCTGATTGATTATAGTTGATGTAATGTTTATGTGAAATAAACGTAGGCAATCCAACAAGGTTTGGGACAAAGAATGGTGTTGTTATTGTTGTACTAGTTATATTAAAGACCTAATACATAAATATGCATTTTAACTTGGCGTCAACTCACATTTATACTTAGAAACTTAAACATGTATAAAGTTGAACAAATAGACATACGCATCATACGTGACATCCTACGTGGAAATTTGAATCCTACATGGTATTCTATGTTTTTCTCATTATTTCAACCTCAATATATTTTGAGGACAAACGAAAACACCTAACATACAATATTTTTTTGTTAATTGAATCATAAGATTCACTTATTACTATTCCTACAAAGTTGAATTAGCTCTTGAGCAGCAGCATCCATCTCTTTATCTCTTATAGATTTTAAATTCTTGCTTATATCTCTCACTTTAGCCCTCAAATTTTCCCCTGTTTCCCCTGTTATGACACCTTTAAGAGTTTCCGCAATTTCTTCTCTGTGAATTTTGCCATCATCATCTCTAACAATCTCCACCGCAACTCCCAATTCAACGATCAACCTAGCATTCATTGGTTGATCAAGGTGCATAGGCATGGCAACTATAGGAACCCCAAAATCTATACTTTCCATTGCTGAATTCCAACCACAATGACTTATAAATCCTCCGGTACTCGGATGATTTAGAATTCTTGGTTGTGGTGCAAATTTGTCCAAAACTCTTCCCCTTTCTCCAATTCTTTCAAGAAAACCTTTTGGTAATGCATCTTCAAGATTTTTCTCTTCACCTTTCGGAAATCTTGCAACCCATATGAAATTAACATTACTTAACTCCAACCCGAAAGCTACTTCTTCCATATCTTCTTTTAACAAGAAATATTCACTCCCAAAGGAGACAAATACAGTTGAATTCTCATCTTTTGTTCCTAGCCAATCCATGAGCTCTTTATCTTCCGTGTCATTAGTGATTGATCAATTCAAGGCAATAATCAATATATTTGGATTCTACAGTTCTAGAAGTACTCATCAACATGATTTGCATATTTCCATCAGCTAGAAGATCCCCATCATCAGGTTCTGTCGCTTTGTTAGATTTCGCCACCATTTCACTCAATCTTACTTGCTCAATTTTCCTGAGATAAATAGCAGGGAAAGGGAATTCAACCTCTGGTTTCCTCAGTATGTTGAAAAAATATGAAAACACAGCTGCACCAGAAGTTACAAGCTTAACTGCTGGAATGTTATGTTCATTCGCGACACGTTTAGCCCATTGCAGCAATATGTCATAAATCACCAAATCAGGTTTCAGATTTTCCAAGATTTTTGTAAAGTTTGGTTTGGACATTGTTGGTTATTGAGCATTTTAATATTATTTTTTATATTAAATTTGCTCATTATTTTGGTGCCTTAATATTGCTTAATTACTCATGGATTGGCCATTGACTTAGTGGTCATAAAATGCTGGCAGAAACGTTCTAGTGAACGTTGGAATTGGGCAACATGTTCATTTGCCGTTGGATGCATTTGTTACACTCTCTTTATTTTCATTCTTTACTCTTCCATTATCCTTGTAACATATGTAACTCCTAAGACCATTATCTTCACTATTTACTACACCATTATCTTCCTATTCATTGCTAGGAAGACTTCTTCTAGTATAAATAGTGGTGGTCTTCATTTGGTTTGTGAAACATACAACACATAAGAAAAAGATAGAGAGGAAAAAGTTTGTCAAAAAGAGAGTTCTTATTAGTTGAAGGGAGGTGTTCTTTTTTGTGGAGCTTTGGACTCAACTCTTGTCCAGAGTTGTTGAGTTATACTTTGTGAAGGCTGTTGTATCCTGGAGGGGACAAGTCAAGAAGGATTACTGCTGGACCGGTGAAAACATTTGTTGCAGTGGACTTGAATCTCCTTAAAGAGAGCGAGATATCCGCGCCTCAGCCTGAAGAGATTTCTGTTTTTTCATTTTATTTCAATTGTATCTTGTATTTTTTGTTATCTTGTAAGTTTTTCACTAACAATTTTAAGGAGAGTCAGTATGGCTACAATTGAAAAAAATGCGGATGTCAAGATAGGAAACCTTAACAAGCCATTTCGGTTCAATGGTAACCATTTTAAGAGATGGAAGGGTAAAGTACTTTTCTACTTGAGTCTTCTCAATGTTTCTTATGTGTTAACTGAGAAGAATCCTAATAAAGTAGACATCACCTCTATGAATGATGATGAAACTATTTCTCATCTAGAGAAAGTGGAAAAGTACGATGGTGATTCCTATAAGTGTCGGTATTATATTCTCAATTGTCTATCTGATAATTTTTATGATTATTATGATAGTTCTTGAATTACACATGCTAGGTCAGATATTTCAGTTATTCAGATATACATGCTCCAGTTTTATGCCACATTATCAGTATATTTCAGCATAAACCCTATTTTGAGTTATAAATCATGAGAAGCTTTTCTTTAAGACAACACTTGAGTTTTAAACTGAGTTTTTGAGAAAGTTAAGATGAGTTTTGAGAAAGAGCTTCTAAAACATGATTAGTATGACAATTGAGTAGGTCATCAATGTATGAATAGTATGGTATCTAGATATACCATCAATGTTTATGCAGTATGACTTCCCAAGTCATCAATGATCAGAGTATTGTTTTCTAAAAAGGAGTTTTCAAGTATGAGTATTTACATGTCAGTATTTTAGGCTATTCAGTATTTCAGTCATAATATATTCAGTTATACATGCCTCAGTTTATGAATGCATCATTATCAGATTAATTGTTGCATTCTCAGTTTGCATGTTCAGTTTCGAGCTATCCAGTATTTACAGAAATTCAGTCATAACCAGTTAACCACTTAATTCATTGGGAGTAGTATAATGCCGAGTTGGACTAGGGTTTCAGCATACCCATATAGTCGCAGAACTACGAGCCACGTAGGTGTAAGTCCCCTCTGTGGGCAACATCAGTTTAGTGATCACGCCAGCATGCCTCTATACCTCTGGCAGGGTATATTGGGTCCTCTCGATGGGGCGTATACATCGGACTCCACATTTAGCTCATGTGGTTTTATGTCGGTTATTAGTAGCTCCCACAGTTCAGTCAGACTCTATTGCATTGACCATATTTCAGTACAGTCAGTATTCAGTCTCAGCATGTTATAAATTTGGCCATTGCATTCAGTTAGCTCAGTATTCAGTATTTTCAATATCTATATCATGTTCAGATTATATCATTGCTCAGTATGCTTTGTTCAGTTATGTGTTATTTCAGCTTTACTCTATCTCGCATGCTCAGTACCTTTCAAGTACTGACGCATACGTGCGCTACATCTTCTCGTGATGTAGGTTCAGGTTCTCAGCATCCAGATCCCGCTTAGATCGGTTCCTGATCTCCAGTTCAGCAGATTCAGTGGTGAGTCCTCATTCTCTGAGGACAATAGTCATGAGTTTCTTTTCAGTATTTTTAGTCTTTAGTTTCAGTTTTGCTAGATCTAGTTGGGGCATGTCCCAACATTTCTAGTCAGTTTAGAGGCTTATTTCAGACATAGTTAGATTCAGCTTAGTGTTTTGAGTTTGATATTTCTTTTGTATTAAACTCTCAGATTTCATATATTCAGCTATAGTATATGGGTATTCCCCATCTTTTCAGATTTATTTATGAATTAGCTTCCGCATCAGGTTATTATCTTTAGTATGCTCATGATCATGCCAACAGGGTTAGCTTGGGATCACTTGTGGTCCTAGGTCCTGTGTCCGCGTCTCGGGGGTAGCTCGGGGCGTGACAAACTTGGTATCAGAGCATTAGGTTTAAGTGTCCTAGGATGTCTGAAAAGCCGCACTAAGTAGAGTCCTTTTCATGGGTGTGAAGTGCACCACATCTAATGAGAGGGAGGCTATGAAGTGTTTTAGGAAAACTTCACTTTCTTGATATTCTTATTGTGCGTTGGTATGATCTCCTTTCTAATCCATCGTTATGCGCTTAAGATCATGCCTCCTCATAGAGCTTAGGCAAGGAATGCTAATGCACGCAATGCTAATGCAGTTCCTCTAGTCCCAGATCAGGGAGTTTCGAA